TTGATTATCATGGTATCCAAACGTAAAAGAGGACCGTTGGGGGCAGCACCTCCCGGTGCCCTCTGAAATTTTTATGCAATGTTCAATTTTAGAAAAAACTACTTACTTTTTTCAAAAATGGTAAATACACAAGTTGTTCAGTGGCAAATGAAGAATGGCGGATGATAACATTTATACGTATATGACTTGTTTTATATTTTTTTCATTTTATTTTTTTTATGTTTATAAAAAAAAAGTTATCATGCGCCAATCTACGATGCATAAGAAGCACGGATACAAAAAAGATATTTTTTTTGGTGAGTATTAAGCCCGCAATTTGAACATTAACATTTCCAATATGGCGGACGGGTATAGAACCCTCTTAATTACATTTTATAGAAGTTGGAATATTTTTTTTTTATTTGGTGTCATCGGCACCGACTGCTAAGGTCATTAGCCTGAAGTTGGAATATTACTTTTTATTTATTTATTTATTTATTTATTTTGATAATTATAAACATGCCAAGGTATAGCGAAAAAAGAGCTTGTTTATTTCCAATTAGAAAAACAAGCCGGTAAAACTCTATTGCCCGTAAATGCTGTACATAAAGTAAGTTTCACATCTTAAAGTTTAGTAAAAATTCATTGATGATCAATTAATTTTAGCATGTTTCGGCCGCCTTAGGAATATCGCTATCGACTGTAGGACGATTGGCAAATGAAGGTATTCAAGCAGATCGCGAATACTCAGCTAAAATGTCCGATTTTGTGAGCGTTAGCCGTGGTCCCAATATTTGGGAGAAATATGAACATGGTCAGGACTTGTATATGCAGAATGTTTAGTCAAGGTTGGTATTTACTAAATACATATTTTTCAAGTTAGATTTCATAAAGTTTTAAATATCTTCATCAATGTTATTATGTTTCTATTTCACACACAAATTTGTTTACTGGTTCATTATGAGATTATTTTCAAGGTTTAGTTTTAATAATTTTTTTTATTAACATTTTTTCTTATCGTAGGTGACCATATGACCCTTTATACGTTGAAGAAAAAATTATAAGATGTATATGGGATTAATACATCAGTTTCTTCACTCAGTAGGGCTTTAAAAGAATTAAAATTCTAGTGGATAAGCTGTGACATTTCTAACAGAAAATATCTCATAGAACAGCCACATGTTACACGAAAAAGATTGTTTTTTACGAGATTTAAAAAAAAAATAAAAGTGATTCTCATCGTCTCAAGCCTGTATATCTATCATGTTAAAACTTGGATATTCATCAAAGGAGGATTTCGCAAAAGCTGGCAGGATGGTATCGATAAAGCAGTCAGAAAGAAGAGTGGTGAAGGTGTACGATACATTGTTCTTCGTGCGGGTTCTAAAAATGGCTATGCAATAAACTATAACTCTAAAGTATCTTTCTCTTTCTGTGAGTTCTCCTTGTTGTCTCTTCAGAGATCCTATGCATCCTTGCTTATCTCTCTACAGAGTTTTTCTGAGTGGAAAATTGTGGAAGGCTTTCAATGCCGTTACAAAATTTCTTCCAGGAAATTCCTTTGGCTTTCCTAATGGCATAACCACATTCTCTTCGGCTAGATTGAAGAGTTTACGAACTTTCACCATACAACATCTCAATCCTCTTTCATTATTTTTATAAGACAGTTTTTTCAAAAATGTTGGTTGAGGTTTGTATCAGAAACTCAGATAACTTCCACTGAATTCTTCGGTGTCGGAGAACAGTCCTTCAGTCCCTGCTTAATTTCCTCTTTGAAGGCTCTATAATTACAGAATTATAGGTCCTAGGATTACATAAGTATTTTCACTTGAAGTTTCTGTACCCAGATTAAACAGGCTATGTCTATGGTCGAAAACTGACACTTCTTTTAAGACGTGCTACTCCTCCATCAATGAATACGCCCGTTGTGTACCAAGCGTTATATCAATCATCTCCCTACGCAAAAATGTTAAGAATGTTTTGAATGTTTGATACTTCTAGTTTATTGGAAGCAATAAATTTTAATGGAGCTTCTCCTTAGTTATTAATGTCACTTCTCCCTAATACTATATGGTGAGAATTGCATCATACCCTATGAGAAGTTCCAATTTTTTCACAGTGGCTAACCAGTTCCCTCACTTCATAGGTTAGGGGAAGCCCCGGTTGGTTATATGGCGGATAGACGGATCGAACAACTAAATTGGTTCCCCCATCTAGTTTGAGGGAGATTGTTACTAGATCATTTTGTACAGAATTCAAATTAAAGATTTTATTCACAGTAATGCAAGTTCTTGGGTGTTCAGACGTTCTATTGAACTTTCTTGTGGTTCTGTAATCAAGGGCTGATTCTCCTCTGGTATGTGTTCTCTCTGAGTGGGCCGTTTAATTTACCCGAAATGTTTCAGGAGCAGCAGGTGTAGGTATTTAAGTTGATAGGTGCCTGTCAAATTCTTTGACAATTTACATTTTTGTCATTCATTTAAATATAGATATTCTAAAGATTAGGTACAATCTGGGGCCCTATTCTCGAATGTCTATTAAAAATGTCGCATTAGTTATAATGTCTACTGCTAATATCTATTAAAATGTCGATCGACTGACACTATCCGTATTCTCAAAGACAAATAGAGATTTTAAAATCAGTGACATATTTGGCGAATGATAACATCTGACAACATTGGATAGAAATATACAATACGAGTATATTTGACTTTGACAATTACTTACTGGGCCCCGCTTCAGCCTCTTCTTCGACCTTTGGCCTTATAGTCAATGAGGTGAACGCATAGCTCATCCTCATTGATTTGGCCTTTAGGGTTCCCATGTCTTCGTCTCCGATGCCGAAGAAAAAAAGATGGCCCTTAGGGTCTTTTTTGATTTCATGGTGGAAGGTGCACCATTTTGACACATGCAAGTTTGGGTTTTGCCCTTCAACTCGCCTAAGCGCAACCTCTTTTTCGTCAAAGTCAGCTTGCGCTTCCCCTAGGATCCAGAGAGGGGTTTTGGTGAGCTTGGGGAGCTCGTCCATCCTTACAACTGCGAGTGTTGCTCCTTCCTATGTTTTTAAGGTTAGTACCTTGGTTTTTAGTCATTCCAACGTCAGGTCATCGTTGCAGGTTACTCTCATAATTTCACCAGAGTGCGACCAAGACCTGAATGTGGGTGGCTTGGTTTTGCTGCAGGAGGCGGACAAGATTGTTTTGTCCAGCTCTCTCATCAGTGTCTTTTTGCCAAGGATTTCTCTTACGGTAGTTATCTTACCGTACGGGTTATCCTTGTCTATTATAGCTACTTTCAGGTGGCTCGTAGCTGCATCCTTTCAGCTTATCCCAGACAGAACTTTGTGGTCCTGTCTGGGTTTTTCACCTTCCAGGGCGTTACCTCTTTTCTTGTCCCTAGTTGCGTCGTGTTCCAGCCTCTTGCGGAGGCTGAACTAGCGTCGCTGTCTAAGGACTTGATTAGGCCTCTTTTGTTTTGTTTGGAGTGAGGGGGTTTGCTGAGGGTGGCGTTTGCCGTAGCACTGCCTGCCGCAGCTTATCTCCCTTTCTCCTGTTTGATTCAGACTCAGAGATTATTTTGCCTCTCCGGGGCCTGTTAGTTGGAGGTGAACTACTGTGTCCATCCTCATTTTTTCCAAGGTTTATTTCGCATTTCTTATTCTCAAGGGTCCACAGACTGAGGTCCACTGAGTTAGGCTCACTGAATTAGGTCCACTGATTGAGGCTCAGTGCCTGAACGAGGACCTAATGCCCGAACGAGGACCCACTGCCTGAACGAGGGCCCACTGCCTAAAAGAGGGCCCACAGCTTGAACGAAGGCCTACCGGTCTTTTTCCGGTAGACCGACGTCCCAATCCGATACTGTACAGGACTAATAATTGATAAATTAGGAGAAATTGTAAATAATCATTTCATATATTTTCAAAAACAATTTGTACATTACTTATTTTCATTTCTCTTAAAAATAAATATAAACTGTCACTGTTACGACACTCATAAGATTATATTTAAAAAGGCATGCGACATTACAATGTCGACTAGTTGAATACCACTCGACTTTATGTCTAACAACAAATGTCGAATTCGCCATTCCAGAATACGTTTTTGCGTTCTTATTCGACATTTCATCAATGTCGCGTATGACATTTAGAAATAGACATTCGAGAATAGGGCTCCTGGTTAAACAATTGCCAAAACAACACATTTTTAACATGTCTCGGAAACGTCTTAAAAATCACAATGTATCGATTTATTGTAGAATGCCAGGAGGGAAATAACTTCGATTAAAAACACTTCCTTTCCATATCTCCAACGTTACTATTTCAAGATATATTGCAAAGAAACGCCTACAGAAATCGGAAAAAAGGTCAAAATTAAGATGATTTACTGGCTAGAATTCCAGATAGTTCCTTGGCTTAAGGCGTCGCTATTTTTCTAAAAAGCTTTTGGTTTGTGATTGGTTAGCAGATATATCCACATCTCCAACAATTTATTTATAAATCTGATTATTAAAGGTGCCAACATAAAATATAGGCAGGGTGATGGCAGAGGAATTGAGTAAAAATTGCTCTTGTTGTCAATATATAGACAAAGGCGAATGAGCGTATTAGTTAAAAATTAAATTTATGTACATAAATAATAAATTAATTTTTAAAATATTTTATTAAAGTTATTAATTAGAACTTTTTATGAAATTTCGGTTAAGAATATGTATAATATACCGTAATAAAATTGATTAGATACTAAATAGATAATATAAAATTATAGTTGTTTGTTGGGTTGTCTTTAAATTATTTATGATTCTTTGATTTAAAAAACTGTCTATTCATCATCAACATGTCAGTTTGGAAAAAGACAGTCAATATTTATCTGGGAACAGTTTCATTATGAATTATTTTGACTGGCTTCTTCCAGACTAAATATTGTAAATCTTGTAGAGCGAAAGAACGGATAAAAACTAGCTTTTTATCAAATAAAGTCGTCATAATTATTTATTAAAATGCATAATACTAGATTTCTTACCTTATCCTTCATGAGCTCCACGTCATCTTTAAACTTGGGTACGATCAAATTGGGAGGTAAACCCTTTTCCAACTGAGTGACATACTTTAAATTTTTAGCGATAAAAATATTCATATCATCAACGTTTAGAGTTTCAAATAGAGCGTGGTACCATTCATCAATCGTTTTCGCCCAAGAATCGACACTCTCCCACAAAAGTATACGAAGTTTTACGTCGTTACTCACTTCATCCATGAGATCAAATCTTGTCACTTCCATCTAAACATATTAGGTTTAAAACAGAGCGGACTTTAAGCAACTACGAACAACTACTAGACTAATTTTGTTTACAAAAATCGAATTGCAAAAAATCACGGTGTCATTCACGTAGTTGTCAAATTATTATGAGAGAGAATGTTACAAGGATTGTTTATGAATATAATTCGGCATTGACTAAACGTAAGGCTCTAAAGCGAACAAAAGACTTTCAAAATTACATTAGAGAAGTATATTTGTATTGTTAATGCCAAATATTATCAGTTTAATATATTTTTCTAATTGCAACTAATATAGTTGTATAGTTTTTAATAAGGAAAATACGCAATTAATTTTGAAGTGTGACAAAGGTGTAAAGCAAGCATAGTAGATGTAAATACTGATTCATTCATAGAACTCATATTTGCTCCTCAAATAAACGTACTCGCACAAACCATCCCCACTCAAATTAGCAACTTCTTCTTTCTAATGCAACAGCCGATGCGACAACTTTGTCTGCAAAATAATAAACACAATCTGAATGATTGCAATAAAAATGGGCTTAATTATGAATGAATGGATTAGTCTAGTAGATTTTCGTCCTTGAGTTTAACTTAAAAACAGAAATGTCAGGTAAAGTAAAGTATTTAAATAAATATTTCGACTTACTCTGAATTCTCTTTGGTAGTCCTTAAAGTCCATAGCGCGACGTTGAGCAGCTTGTAATCGCGCAAATAGGTCCGATAAAAATGTCATTACATCTTCAAAATTAGAATTTATGTCATATAGCCATGGGTTCTAAAAAAATTATACGTACTAAGTAAAATGTTAAAACATTCATTTAAATAAATTCTTCAAACTACATCGTATAAAACGATATTTTAGGAGAAAACATCTAAATAAATGCATCATAAGGAAATGTAGATTCAAGATCTATATGTATACTCCTAAATATGTTAATATTTCAATACAGAGTCTTGTAGCTACTTTTTTTTAAATATAAGAATTTTGCTCAAAAATATTTATCATAAAAAAAATTATAAAATAAATTTATTTAAATGCAGTGAATTATTTTTATTTTTGACGGTATTGTTACGCAGCACCCTGCAGCTATCATAGGAAACGTACAGATAGAAAAAGAAGTGGAATGTTACTCATCGCTCTACAAGTAAAAGAAGATAGAATATTCCAGAAATGTCCAGAAATGTCATTACCCGTCAAGAATATTCTAGATGACACTTAGAGAAGGTTCGATAAGGTCAAGCAAGCTATATAAGTCGACGACCTGACGCCAGAGTTGGAGTTTTATGATAGACATTACATGTTAATGTTATCAGTTAGAGTTATTGTATCAGTTGAATTGAGTTATTGTGAAAGTTGAGTTAAAATAAATTGTGATACCAAAAACCAGCGTAACAGTATTTTTTATTATTTACAGAATGGTGTTTTCCTCGAAAACAAAACTGAATTATTTGGACTGAACTTCAACAAATGTTTCTAAAGCAGGCCTTGGAACAATTTACGCATGACGTAGCTTATTATTATTCTTCTACGTTTTAAATGCCCGTTTGGATTTGATTCATATATATGCAACCAGTGTATTGCCAATATAATAATCTACTTTTGGCATAAATATGCGACACTGCGCGTTGAGTCGTTTTCAGACGATGCTATGTCATTAAACATGACCGGATTTTTTTAAAATTATTTTTTGAACTTTTTCAGAAACATGTTACGTTCAGCCTTGGTTTCACAGATAATTTTAATCAGTAAAACATAGATGTAGGTATGTAAAGAAATTTAATAGTTATATAACGACCTCGTTTATTAATTACCTTTTAAATTAAGAGTTCTGTTCAACGTTAATATATACCTTGTTCTCTACGAAACATCAAACGAAACATCAAACGTCAAACGAAAACGTCAAACGAAACGTCAAACGAAACATCAAACGAAACTTCAAACGAAACATCAAACGTCAAACGAAAACGTCAAACGACACGTAAAACGTCAAACGAAACGTCGATTTTTTTATTCAACGTTCATCTATACCATGTTCTCTACATAATACCGTTTTTCCCGTTTGAATCGGACCAATAGTAGTTGAGAAACACTCTTAGGTCCTTTTGGCAATCGCATGATTTTTTCGTTCGATTAAAAAAAATTAATTTCCACCACTTCCCCCACTCCCCCCTCACTCTGTCTCACTGTTACCCATTGAATATGTACCTCTCACTCTTACACATTGAATCCTCGGGATCCGGACAGTTTTTCGAATGATAATTATTCGAACGACAGTTCTTCGAACGACATTTATTCGAATGGACAGTTATTCAAAAAGACAATTCTTCGAACTGATAATTTTTCGAATGTACGATTCTTCGAATAGACAATTTTTCCAAATAAGTTGGTTTTATTTTATATAATTTAATTTTAATTAGTATTATAATCCCATTGAATTTTGAGAACAGGTAGTAATCTTCTAAGTAAGGTTTTATTTTATGTAATTTAATTTTAATTAGTATTATAATCCCATTGAATTTTGAGAACAGGTAATCTTCTAAGTAAGGTTTTATTTTATGTAATTTAATTTTAATTAGTATTATAATACATAATAAATTTAGTTTTGAGAAATTGTAATCTTTTAAATAAGGGTTTTATGGTTCAGATTAAATGCCATCCCTCTAATAAATAAGCAGGTAATTATTTTTCCGACCATTTTAAACTCTTACATTAAATGGTATAAAAGATGAAAACATTTTGACATTGTATTCAGTCTGATTTTAGTGTTTATAAAGATGCCTCTCGAATTCCTTTTTAGTGAAAAAGGAAAAAAAAAAGTTATTTTTGAACGGATTTTTATTCGTTAAAGACAAAGCCGTTGATGAAAAAACATATTGGAAGTGCGAGTTCTTTTTGTCTTAGAAATGTAAATCGCGAGCAATTACAAGCCATGATGATGTTTGCAAAGAGACTTCTCACAACCACCCCGCGGATGCAGCAGAAGTAGATGCCATACGTTTTAAGAATAAACTGAAGGACAATGCTCGGACAACAAGAAACACTCCACACTACCTAGTATCGGCACTATCAATTGAAGTGGACAAACTAACAGCAGCCAAACTAAGTAAAGTAAATAGTTTAAAGCGAACAATACGCAGGGAAAGAGTGAAAGAAAACATGGAACCCACAAAGCCGAAAAGTCTAGAGGAGTTGTATCTACCTGATTCTTTTAAAACCACCACAAAAGGCGAACCATTTCTACTTTTCGATTCTGGAAACATTAAATAAAGAAATCAGATTTTCAGCACGAAAGACAAACCTGGATTATCTACAAAAAGCTGAATACATATAGGGACCGTGCGTCATGACTTTAACACCAACTGGTGACAAAAATGTGAACTTTATGGGGGGGATTTATTAATGTTTTATACGGCATTAATTGTTTAGTAATTATTAATTAAATAAAGTCGAATTATTTTCGTAATATCATTATCGAAAAAACTTGTTGCATTCGTAGATGTACAAACACATCACTTTGGAAACCTGGATTTGATTCGATAGTAAAGACATTTTTTAAATTTCCACAGAGCACACTTTGCGTCTCACACCCAATGATATACATAATTACATATATTGCTTATCCATAACGTAAATCAGACGACGAAAAGCGTATTTCATTGGGCAAAGTTTTCTTTTTATCTATAATCAATTTTGAGCACTTATGTAAACAAATCATTTACAGAACCGGTTTAGAAATTTAGAGTATTTAGTGTTTTCTTGTCATTAAGATTTTTACACATTTAAATAAACATTTTATATAAATATAATTTTACAGATAATTAATGGTTTATTCTGTTAATTAAAATTAATGAAGAATGTTACTGTGAAATTAGAATGTCCAATTTGACAAAAATATCATGGCCCTCTATACAATTTATTAACTATTTTTCATTTATCACTAAAATAAACAAATCATAATTAATACATTTTAATTACTGTCAAAAGAGATTGCAACAAACTTTAAAATAATAAAAATCCACTGATTTTTTGTAAATTTTTTTAGTAACATTACCATTACATTAACATTACTTAGAATAATAGATAAATGTCCAATTACAACTCTTAACAAAAGTATTTATTATATCATATCAAAGTTGTTTACATTAAATTTAAAAGTTGTATTACATATTTTTTTTTTTTTTCGATTTATGGCCTAGGTGTATATACCTAATATGCCAGTCTCAAATTTGTGTTTAAATTCTCAATCATGTGTGTTCTGTGTAGGCTTTGTTACTGTTTCCCAGCGCCACTTTAGGAACAGCACTGTTAATTAGAACCCAACAGTGAATGGTCGAGTGGGGAATCCTACCAAGGCATCAGAATTAATTTTAAATAATTAAATTAAATGAAAAAATTCCGGCCAACGGTGGGATTCGAACCTGGGACCCTTGGATACACAGGCACAGGCTCTAACCACTGAGCCACCCACCCCCCTATTACATATTGAAATGATGTGTTTCATATAGTGTTATTTCTGAAATTAGAGTGGTCTAAAATTATTTACATTCATCTGTTATAAAAATTGTTTAGATCTCTTGTGTCTTGAAGTAAAACTTTAATTATTTTTTTTCTTTTAAATATTAAAAGGCTAAATTTTATTTTAAAACACATTTGGGCTAGAACGGCACTAGGAAAGGCAATACATCAATACGCTTTTCGTAATCTTTTTTATAGGTGGATGAGGAATCTATATAATTGTGCATACATTGGGTCTCATAAACGTTAAAGGTGGTTGAATGACATTTCGACTGACATAAAGCTAAAAAGAATTATTATTCTCAATCTTTTTTTATTAATTTACATTTTTTAAATGTTATTGTAATACTTTTAAATTGAGTGTTAATAAATACCGATATTTTGACATTGGATACACTAGCTTAAGGTACAACTTTACAATTTATTGTCACTTAGCCATTTAAATTATTTTGCTCAAAAAGTATATACATGTCCAGATTTTAATAATTTTTCACATTTTATATCATTTTGACCATGTATATGATTGTTTGTTACGGGCCGGTATCTATATTTAACTATATTTAATATTTTAAAAGATATCCTGTATTAATTACCTGCAATGTTTACCCCAATTAATTCTAAAATTAAACCCTAGAGAGGGCTACCTTCGGCAGTAGTGCTGCCTCTATATTTCACGCACGGTCCCTATACATGGATGGAACTTTTAAGACTGCACCTATGCTTTTTTACCAGCTCTACACCATACATACATTTATAAACGAGGAATCCGTACCACTGGTATATGCACTTCTACCTGATAAATCAAAAGACACTTACATAAAGTTAATTTCGGCCCTTAAAGATTTAGCACCAGCTCTCAGACCGCAATCGGTTCTAATAGATTTTGAAGCAGCGATGATAGGAGCGATACATCAAGAATTTCCGAATGCAACTGTACAAGGATGTTTCTTCCACTTTTCACAGGCAATTTACAGAAAAATTCAAACAGCTGGCTTTAAACAGCGATATGACACCGACAAAAACTTTGCACAGCACATGAAGATTTTAGCTGCATTAGCTTTCGTACCTACAAAATACACACAGCCATTTTTTAATGCATTAAGCGATCATTTTCCAGAAGAAGCTACCGAGGTTCTGGACTACTTTGAGGAAACATGGATTGGGATGATTCGTCGCGGTCGTCGAAGGTCACCGTTGTTTGATTGGGAAATGTGGAACTGTGTTAATAATGTTTTAAACATTCAACCCAAGACTAACAA